AACACTTCGATATACCGACAGTCAACTTGGCACCGCTGAAGGGACTGCAGCACCGCCCAAATTTCGACGGAATCAAAGGCTTTCTCATAGTCCACATACGCCAGACATAGTGGCAAATTGTACTCTTCGGACTTCTGTACAACTTGCCGAAGGGTATGTATGTGGTCTATGGTGCTAAAGCCCTTTCGGAAACCGGCTTGTTCGGGAGGCTGGAAGTCGTCAAGTCTGCGCGCGAGACGGTTCGTAATGACTCTCGAATACAGCACGTAGACGCGGCTCAGAAGGGAAATCGGTCTGTAGTTCTTCAAGAGAGAGTTGTCACCTTTCTTGAAGAACAAGACCACCGCACTTCTGCTCCACGCCTCCGGTGTAATGCCACCATGGAGGACGGAATTAAAGAGCTTCTGAAGGACTTCAAGTACCGGTCTTCCACCCGCTTTCAGAAGCTCCGCTGTAATTCCATCCTCGCCTGGGGCCTTACCGTTTTTAAGGTGCTGGAGAGCCATCCTAATCTCGCTCAGACTGACATCCGGGATATCTTCGGAATAGTGTCGGATGAGACTCGCTCTTGGATCGTTACTCACACTTGCGTGTGGCTCCAACGATGATGTGTACAGCTGCCCATAGAACCTCTCAATCTCACTCAAAACCTCAGGTGTCCCGGAAACGATGCTGCCACATTCTGTCTTCAGCTTTGACAGTTGGCTCTTTCTGGCAGACAGATCTCTGGCAAAGACTTTGGAGCCTTGGTTCCGCTCGATCGCTTCTTCAATACGAGCTGTATTGAAGTTGCGTAAGTCCCGCCGCATGCATTTGGAGATCTGTCTGTTCAGATGCCTGTATGCTGTCAAGTCTGTTGAAGAATGTAGCTTCATCTCCCGTCTAACAGCCATGAGATTAAGAGTGTGATCGGAGAGTTTTTGTGTTCTTCTGCGGCGGGTCTTGCAGAACTTAGCTCCAACCGCATGGACAGTTTCCACGAGCTTGTCATTCATATCGTCCACTTCATTGCAGTCTTCTAGGCACTGAAAACGGTTTTGTAACTCGAGCTGAAAGGTTTCGGGACTTTGAAACAGAGCACGAGGGGGACGGAGCGTTGACTTCATTAGACGAGACCTCTCCAACTTAACGTTTAGGTTCAGTGTGCCTCTAACCATTCGGTGATCGCTACCAGTTTTCACCCTCGCGATCACGGAGACATCACTGAACAGTTGTCGTCTGGTCGTCATAATGAAGTCAATCTCATTTTTTGTGGAACCGTCGGGGCTCGACCAGGTCCACTTCCTGTGGGGCCGCTTCTGGAAGAAAGAGTTCATCATAAAGAGTCCCTCTTTCTCCATGAAGTCGGCCAGCTGCTGGCCCCTTGGGTTCCGTTGCCCTATTCCAAATTTCCCTACTTTCAGTTCACCGTTCTCTCTTGTGCCTAGTTTTGCATTGAAGTCTCCCATTAACACCGTATATTGGGTTTTGGAGGAATGCATGGCTCTAGAGATATCCTCATACATTTCCTCCACCTCCTCATCGGGGTGTGCCGAGGTTGGTGCGTAAACCTGTATGACCTTCAGCGAATACCGTTTGGTGATTCTGAGTATAAGGTACGCAACCCTCGTCGACACACTCCCGATTTTTACAACGTTGTTAACGAGAGACTTGTGGACGATAAATCCGACACCTCCTTGGGACAGATGGTCGCCCTCCCGGTGATAGAGCAAGTTGCCGGATTCGAGGATTACCGTGTCCTCCCCCTCTCTTCGGACTTCAGATAATCCTATAATATGCCAGCGCAACTTGTCTATCTCTTCTTCCAGCTCCACGATCTTCTCGTCAGTCCTCAGGGTGCGTGCGTTGTACGTTGCCAGGTCGAGTCGTCTAAGGTGGCAACCGAACCTCCACCGGAGATTCTTAGCACCCCCTGCCCCGCCGTTACCATGGTCGCCACCGTAGCCAGGAATAGCGGGGCCGCCGGGGACTGGGGGCCGTTTTTTTGTTGCTCTCATCATTGGGGGGTATTTGCCATAGTTGCCACGCTTGGCGAGCGGGTTGGCAACCGCAGTTTTTTTTATTGTCATTTGGCTATTATCAGGAAGATGCTGCTGCCCATCTCCTGGCTGTTTCCCTTTGTCGCCTTTTACGACACCCACGGGAGGATATGGGGTAGTGGATATTCTTGACCGCCACTACACGGCAAGATAATTATGATAGTATCACTTAAGAACCTCTGCACTAGCTCAATGATCTTAATAGTGTCTGCCAAGGGATAGGTCTTAAATTAATGTGGAAAACATTTTCATTGAGCGCAATACGCATGAAGTTGTGGATGACTGAGTAAATCCAACTTCAATCAAAAAGTCAATCAAAGGATCTATCTCGGCTTTTCAGTCTTCAGATCATGAAAAATCTTCTCTTCACATATACTTCAAAAGTTGATTGCAAGTGTAAAATCAGTGCTTGTTGCCAGTGATGACAATATATATATAGATCTGAGACATAGTCTTTCACTACTGGCCATTTGAGGAAGTTCAAAGTCGCTCTGCAACCTAAAATTCGTTATGAGGATATCCACAGCGGATATAGAATAACCAACATGCCCAATGGATCAAAAGTTATAAAGAGTCACTGCCCAATGTATGAGTAAGCTGAAGAGTCATGGGCCAGCTATACAGCTGGAAGAACTGACCAACAATAGAGTATAAGGGATCTCATGTGCAGTGGCAGCTTTGAACCTGTGAGTGAAGCTTAGAGTGGCTGCCACTAAACGGAATGATGGCTTAATAAAACATCCGGGAAGTCGGTAGATGCAGGTGGCTCATTACCATACTTTTTGACATACAGTCAGGGTGCACTATGCTCAGTAGTGGACTTGTGATAGGACTAGGTAGGACTTAGTTGTAAAATTCTATACTTTACCCTATAAAGGAATAACGGACTCTTTAAAGTTGAATAGCTAGTGCTTGTTCCTAGTATATATACAGAATTAAAAAAAGAACTATTTTCATAAAAAATACTACTTTTTAGTGTATAAACATTTATTTTAAATATTAGTTTATTCTATTGTTTTTTTTTTTAAACTGACAAACCAACTTAGAGTCCACCCGATAGTAAGTGGCTACTGCAGTCCATGGACACCTGCAGCCAACTTCAAACAAAAATGGCTACAGATGCATTGTCACCACTCTCTAAGAACTAAGAATGCCTCACAGCCTATAAATTTACTGGCTCTCTATACCCTGCAAGCCAAAAGACATCAGTACTGGCACTAAAGACTCATCCATTACCATTGCATTTGGCAGCAGAAATACGAGGGTGGATTGAAAAGTACTCGGCCTAACACAGATCCATTCGATTCTAAAAATCAAATCTACCCACATTATTTAGTTCAGTTCAGACTAGTTCATTGTGTGAAGTTCGAAACGTGTGCGATAATTAGTTGTGATTTTATAAATTTATTAACAAAGTAATCGGACATAATTTCCGCGAATGGAGCAAATCGAGCAGCGTGCCGTCATTAAGTACCTCCATAAGAAGGGGCTATCATCAAAAGCCATCCATGATGACATGGTCAGTACATTAGGCGATTGTGCTCTGTCATATTCATCCGTCAAAAAATGGATAGCAGAATTCAAGCGTGGTAGAGAGAGTGTGAAAGATGAACCCCGCTCTGGAAGGCCTTCGACGTCAACTACTGACGAAAATATTAAAAAAGTACTTGATTTAATAATGGGAGACCGCAGATTAAAAATTAGAGAGATAGCCGAGATTATAGGCATCTCTTATGAACGAACTCAAAACATCATTGTCAACGAGTTGAGTTTCCACAAGGTGTCTGCGAGGTGGGTTCCGCGACTGCTTTCAGTTGAACAAAAAAGGACGCGATTGACTATTTCACACGACTGTTTGGAGTTATTTGAAGCCGATGCAGATGATTTTTTGAATCGTTTTGTTACTATGGACGAAACATGGGTTCATTACTGTACACCGGAAACAAAACAACAATCAAAACAGTGAAGAAGACCTGGTTCACCACCCCCTAAAAAGGCTAAGTCGATTTTGTCGGCAAATAAGGTGATGGCTTCAGTATTCTGGGACTCGAAAGGTGTGATTATGATTGATTATCTTGAAAGGGGTCAGAATATAAACTCTGATTACTACTGCACCTTACTACGTCGTTTACGAGAGGAAATAAAAGAAAAACGTCGAGGAATGCTCAGAAGAAAAGTCCTGTTTCATCTAGATAACGCCCGTGTTCACACGTCAGTACAGTCAATGGCTGAAATTCACAACTGTGGCTTTGAACTGTTACCGCATCCGCCGTATTCACCTGATCTGGCACCATCAGACTTCTTTCTGTTCCCTAACCTAAAAAAAGCACTTGGGAGGTCAAAGATTTTCGACAAACGACGAGGTCAAAGCAGCTGTAGACGCATATTTTGACTCTAAGGAAGAATCATTTTTTTTCAACGGTCTAAATGCTTGGAAGGGGAGGTGGCGAAAGTGTATTGAACTTGATGGTGATTATGTAGAAAAATAAAAATATAACTGATTTAGTATTTGTTTATTTTCTTGGTTAGGCCGAGTACTTTTCAATCCACCCTCGTAGGTAAGAGGGTGATACCTAGCCAGTCTGCGAGACAGAAAAGGAGTCCTACTACCTGTTGTTTCTATATTCTATACTATAATATTATAAAGAGGTAAAGTTTAAGTTTGTGAGTTTGTTTGTAGGAAGTAATCTCTGGAACTATTGAACCAATTTTAAATATTCTTTCACCAGTAGAAAGCTATATTATTCCTGAGTGACATAGGCTATATTTGATTGTGATGGATAATATTTTTAATGTGAAATAACAATATTTGTCAATAAATTCCGAAAATAAATCCTAAACACTCAGTACTAAGAACCACACAAGATAATTTCATCACAAGTAAAATGTTTTACGCCCAGCAAAGTGGGCACGGGTCAGCTAGTTTAATTATATATTAACTAATTTATGAAAATGTTACAGCAAGCCCACTGAATATGTCAATAGAAGAGAAAATTGAGGCTGACAACAGATCAGTTTATGTTGGCAATGTGGACTATGGTGCTACAGCTGAAGAGCTGGAGCAACACTTTCATGGTTGTGGCTCTATTAACAGGTAATTAAAAATTTAATAATTTTGCATGGTAAATATTACAATTTTTATCTCCATTAATATGTCTTATATTTATTTATAATATATAAGAGTTATATTACATCATGCCAGAAAAAACTAGATTGTTCATTAAATAACCCTAACTACTCTTCTTTAGAAACTAGAAATCTCGAAATTATAAGCAAGTGCATCTTTGCTAAAAACTATGCCTAACAAGTTGCTAGGTCAGGGAGAGTATATTGAGTGAGATAGGATAGAGACATATTTTTTTTTTTAATATAAAATGGGGGTTGTTCAAATAGACGTGTTTGGCATTGCATTACCGTGATAAACCAGATAAGCTGCAGATATCTAACTTCTTTGGTCACTTGTCTCAACATGGTGCACAAATTGTCTCATTCAATTGGAATTAATATTTACTTGGTTCTTTAGCACTATTCAATATGACCCGTTTTGGAGAAAAACAAGTCAAATCTTTGTTCTTCTCTTCTTAGTCAAATGTTTGTAATTCTTGTTTTTCCGAATAAATAGTAACCGCAGTTGGAGCTTAACCTGTCTAGCTTTCTTGTCCATCGGTGTTTGAATCCAGCAAACCAATTATCGCTCGCTGGCTGGATATTACTGTTTAACTTTAATGGTAATATACAGCCGATATTACTGTTAAAATTTAAAAGTAATATTCAGCCTTTAAAATGATTGATATATAAGGAAGTGTTCAAATATTACGTAAGCAGGCTTAGGGGGGGATAATATGGAATACCAAAGTTATTTTCATATTTCTTACTAAAAAGAAATAAATTTTGAAACTTGTATATGGAGCCTGTGGAAATAAGCGATTCTTAATTTTCTCATTTTATTAAAAACTGATATGTTAATTTTAAAAATAATTGTTAAAATTTAACTTTATTTTTATTCGTAATTTTCTTATTTTTGCTTTCCGGGTAGGGGTCTAAAATCAGAAAATTTACTTACGTAAACTTGAACGCCCCTTAACTTGCCAGTGTCAAACAAATGAGTAAAGAGTGCCTCAATTCTTTTGGCATTCACTTTGTGGAAAGAAAATGTATTCTGTTATTTACTTTCTGACACCATATCATTTTATTCACAAAAATATTAGTGTCATATAATTAGTAAAAGTGTGTTATTTAACTTGCAGGGTGACAATATTATGTAATAAGTTTGATGGCCACCCCAAAGGCTTTGCCTATATAGAGTTTGGAGATAAAGATAGTGTACAAACAGCTATGGCAATGGATGAGTCTTTATTCAGAGGTCGCCAAATAAAGGTAATTACAGTCTTTAATAACAATGTTTTTGTTACATCTTAGTTATGAATTTCGGATTATATTAGTGATGGTCTGGTACATAATATGAAGAAAAAGAAACTAAGTAATAAAAAATATAACTGTTCTCTAAACCTTTTAGAGCTAAAGCTGGAGACTTATATTCAGCAATGGAATTTTGATATGCGGTAATGGACGGACGGTACTGTGGTATATAATATTATCATAAATGTATTAATATTTGTTTTAAAATTTTGCAGGTTATGCCCAAGCGCACGAACAAACCAGGGTTATCAACGACAAACCGGCCGCCGCGGACGATGCGCGGTCGCCCGCGGCGCGGTAGTTTCACGCCGTACAACTCGGTCTACCGACCCGTGCGTCGCGGCAGGTACCAACCCTATTAAAATGAATGTATTGCGGCCTTATTCATGTGACACAAAATATTATACACACATATAGAATCTATATATCTGATATATCCTTTACGTTATGTCCTATATGTATCTACGAATAGTTATTTTGCATACAGCCTGTAATTTTTTATTTATTCACATAGTCATGTACCTACATGTAGAGAAATACACAAATATTGAAATTCAATACAGTCAAACACAACGAATTTAAGGAGCTATATTATTGTAATTTTATTAATCTACAAGATTTAATGATATGAATTGAAAGTACAAACTTTCATGGATAAGGCTGACTATAGTCTTGAACTGCATTTGTCAATAAAAATATTTATACAAAGTTTTATAGTTAATAAATAAAGTTTGCTATAACGACATATGTATTTTTAATTTATTTTATATATCCTACCTTCCCCTTTACAACCAGGGGCCGCATCATGTACGTAGTTAAGAGGTTTAAGTTTATATTTGACTCATCAACATCAAAAAGAGAAACAACTACCTAATGCATGTTCATTTTACAGTTTAATTTATATAACACCTAAGACTCCCTAGCTACGAACATGGTTTGCATGCTACTAGTGTCATGTGTAGTGTAGCCTGTATAGCGCTATCTATAACCGCGCCCGTTGTTCGCAGAGGGTACAGGCGCGGCATGTATTACTCTCCGTACTGAGTGCGGTAGAAGGGGGACTTCGCCCCCGGCCGCGTCACGCGATACCCTCGTGCGAGTGTGTGCGGTGTAGCTAAGTAATAGTGTTACGACTGGTGTCTCACTTCAGTGTCGCCCGTCATCTGGATCGTCAATGGATTTTTTCTCCCACCTTCGGATTACAAACATGTTTGTTTGGGTAAGAGGTCACATTTTGACGCTCGGACTCTGAGAGTAACATAAAATAAATCACTAATTGTAAGGTTTAAAGTATAATTTGATGAAGTGGGGATTTAATGAGCCTGTAGTTCATTATAAGTCGTACTGTTTTGTTTTATTATTAATTGATGATTAGCAAGGAAGTATAAGCTATGTCTCGATTTTAGTGTTACATATTGATTTCTACACAATATTTGTATTTCTTGTTTTAATAATTAACTTTGAAATAGCCCCTGCAACATGATACCTAATTTAAAAGCTGCCAATACTTGTTTCGCAAGATTGCAAGCTTAATTAAAGTTCAAATCTAAGAACTATGCAAGATAGATGGAATTAGAAAAAAAATATGTATAGAGTTGCTAGCTATTATACACTCATACCAGAATACCTAATGTGGTGTTAGGGCTCACTGAATAATTTTTCTTGTATTAAACCTAGATTAAACTTAAGTGGTAATAATGTCCTAAATGGAATGTAAATTAGACTAAAATGCCTATTTATTTTTATATCTGTTGCACTAAACAATCAAATTAAACCTGTTTACCTTTTTATTATGCATATACAAGTATGCAACATTGATGCATTCCGGCACGCTCAAATTATATCGAATGGATAATTTTGCAATAATTACCATGAAAAGTAGTAGATTAAGTACACGTAATTGCTGTCTAAAAGTAAATAAGCAATGTTGCCAATTGTAATCGTATAACTTTGCTGAACTGATACGAAAAGTTGAAAAAATACTTAAAGTAATTAACGAGTCTCCATGTAGAGAAAATATGGTTGACAGCATGTTCATTGTGAAAACTGCTAGAAATAGCAGCTAAATGATTTATAAATTGTTGCTAATTGGGATTTAAAAAAAAAAACACTAAATTCTGAAATAAAATTATAAGTTGGCAACACTGTGAATGAGTTATAATTTAATTCAAATTCATATGTCAATAAATATCAACGATATTATTATTAGTTCTAAAAATTAACGATCAACATCGCAATGCCAGAGCTTATGTGTAATAAATCTAAATTAATTTCATAGAAGGAAAATTTGGTACTACCCGCGCAACTTGTATCCACCTCTCTTGCACAATCTCCCTATCAGTACTCACATACGCCGATAACGAGCTCTAAAATCATGCTGTGCAATATTTTTTGTGCCTCGTAACACTTCAAGCTTCGTACAGAACATAGCCTAAATTATTAAATATCTAAAAATAAATATAAGTTAATTGCATAATTTACGTCCTCATTTATTATAACATGTTATTGTTTAATTATTTACTTAATTGAATTGTTCTTTAATATTGGTCATCACCATCATCATCATCATCATTACAGCCCTTCACAAGTCCACTACTGAACATAGGCCTCCCCCAAGGAATGCCACAAAGCACGGTCCTGAGCCACCTGCATTGTCGTCACTCCATCTAGTGGGGGTCGCTACACTTCGCCTACCGGTACGAGGCTGCCATTCTAGGACCTTTTTTCCCCATCTGTTGTAGGTACTATATGTACTAATTAGAATTTTTCTGATAACTAAAATGGTTCATAAAGAAACATTTTAAGTAATATAATATTATTAGTACCATCTTGTGTACTGATAGGGAGAGTACAGGCATAATGAACCGCCATTTCTAATCCCATTCAATATTGGCACGGGTAGTAAGTAACTATTTATTTCCATGTTGGGTAAATGGGTTTGTAGAAGGGAAACTATGTAGAGATTTTATGTTAAATAGTCATAAAACTATTGAATTGGTGTTATTTTAATCAGCCCTTTATTATAATCTTCCTAGAGCTGCCGCCTATGAAACTAAAGCAAGCTCAGTTTTGAAATATTATTGATTTTTTATTGTTTCTGTATTGCTGTTAAGTAATTTCTATACTCAGATCAAAATAATAAAATAGGCAGTGCTAAAGAATTTATAAGTGAAGCTAGAAAAAAGCAAAAATCCAGTACTCATTTGTAATAATTTTTTACAACACTGACCCGTAATTACAATTTTCTCCTGATCGCAGCTCTAGAGCGCTACGCACTAAATTGTGTTATTTTCCTATTTGGTATTAATTTTCCTAGCTTCAGTAATTAATTCTACGCAATTTTGATATAACTCATTTCATGATTTTAATAAATGGCAGCCCTAAATATTTATTTATATACAATCAATATAACAATATGAATATTTTGTAATAAGTTGCTATAAGTTTGCATTTGCATTGTTTTCTAAAGTTATATTTTCTTCTAACACTTTCTTAAAAATTACATGGAGTGTACTATCAAAACAAGATGACAAAATAAGGTTATAAAAGTGTGCAGGATATGAAATAATTTTTAAGATGATTCTGTGTTTTATTTAAAACAATGCCCCCAATGAGTGTCTATTATATCTTCAAACCAAAAAGCTAAATAGTATATTTATGAAGAGATTTTTTTTAAAAGAAAATTAAAATATGACCATATTTATGACATAGTCGTTTACACCTAAAACAATGCCGCACCAAGCTTCTTTCATGACCGACGCAGTTATGAAACCTGCGTGTCACGACTTGATGGCGGGCACCTGCAGAGGTCATATATCATCCAATGTCCAAGAGATGTTTAACAGAATGGGTTGTACCGGTTTTGCAATTCCTCTATTACGTGTATTAAAGTTGAACCACGTAAACGGCTCATCATTCGTCACAAACAAATTTGTAAAAACTCAACTTTTGACGGATATCCAACTTATCTTTATTATTACAGATATTCCTTAACTAATTGTTTGTTTTGAACTTTACGTAAACGCTGCTTGGTCCAAGAGTTTTAGCTATTTTTCAGATATGGAACCTAAGTAGATCAAAATGCTTACATATCTGCAAACAGGTCGAACCGTGTGTACAGTTTTAATTTAATTGTCAATGATATTTTTAGAAAACCCGTTAGAGACCGAATTAGATAAATTCCATTAAGCTCTTTTAAATAATTTTTCTTGATGGCACAATAAACCGACGATTAATATAACAATAAAAAGCTACTAATTTAGGTTAACATGATGACGCGGGGATGACCGTGTCGGTATGAGTTGGCTGTCGATAAATTTGGAATTCATGCAACGACTTATTATTGTTATGTCGAGAAAATTAAGGAAACAATCTTGTTCCGATTCAAGCTTAAATTAAATTTTATTGTGGATTCTATTTTATTAGGGAAAACATCCAGTTGCCTTCTTGTGTCAGTCCAGCAAAGAATTATGTATTTTTGTAAGGAAATAAGTTGGTGCACCTATGTGTGAGACAACCAATCTTATCTATGGAGACAACTGGCCAAATAGGAACATGTATTTTAGTAACCCATATAAAATGTATGCTTGTGCTTGATGATTCATTGGAACAAGACTCCTCCGAGGCAAGTTGTGATCGGAAAAACATATTAATCCAAAAGCTGGCGACACATTTTGAGCACGGATTTGACCCATCTAGTTATATAGATGAAAAGTGTCGTTTACGAAAGTTGTATAGAGAATGGCTAGTCTGCCTGTGGCATGTAGGGGTGGAACAGGTACTGCACAAGGTAAAATATTTTTGTTAAAAATATAATTGACCCAGCATGAAATAACACAAATTGTACATACGGTGGCACGGGACCAGACCAGACCACCCCAATGATATTTAAAAAAAAATTTAGACGCGCTGAAAATTTAATAGCGTGTCAAGTACCACTTCAAACCAAAGCGTTTAATAGCGTGTCAAGTACAGTAGGCGCGCGAGTTCATGTCCATCCCGAGGAATGCGGCAGTGCTGTAACCTAATCAATTATGGTAATGTCGATAATTACTACCGATGTAGTGAACAGCTGTCAATTTGATATCAATTTGTAACTTAAGGTAAATTTGCAAATTATAAAATAAAATAAACATGATAAGTACTTACTTGTATATTGCTAATAGAGATTCTTTTTTAAATGTATTTTAATTACTATCGGATGCATAGACAACCGACAAAGCAGAGTCGGAATCAGTATCTTCGCCGTCGCTGACTTCAATTACGAATTTGTCGATCGTATTTTCCAATAATCCGTCTTTTTGTCCGTCTCTTCCAAAATTATAACGTGATCATCAAATCCACACCAATCTATTTCTGTCACCTGGTTTATAGCCATCTCCGTTACTTCTTTCAACCTTGTTAGGGTTAAATCTGAGTTAACGTTGTACTCCCTCACAACTCTCTTGATTTTTGCCCATGCTAACTCAATTGGGTTTAAGTCGCACATGTACGGTGGCAATCTTAAAACCTCATGTCCGTGACTACGGATGAGCTGGTCCATTTTAAAAGTTTTCTCCTGGGGTGCATGCAGTTTTATGACATCAAAAAGCTCGGCTTTTCTCATGCTTAGTGAAGTCTCTACATTATTTCTTGTAAGCCATTCTAACATAACCGTTTTAGTGCTTGATTTTGTAGGAACTTTATTTTCCTGAACACTGTGATATGGTGCGTTGTCCATAACGACAACGCTGGATGGTGGCATATTGGGAATGAACATGTCAGTCACCCATTTCTCAAAGTTTGTACTGTTCATTTGCCCATGGTAATCGCCTGTAGCAGTACCAGCTTTGAAAAGCAACTTTGCGCCATCCAAAAAACCACGTCTGGATCCGGCGTGAACGAGAATCAGCCTGTTCGTGGAGCTGGTGTCAGTCAGTATCGCGTCTATATAATCGTTTCTCCAACACTTTTTAAATGTGAGGTTATTGTCAACCCATGTTTCGTCTAAAAAGACAATATCGCGATCATTTTCTCATATCATATTGACGAATTTTTTGCAAATAATTTGACCGCGCAAATACAACAGCTGGTCTTTCTACCAAAATCCTTCGCTTGCTGTGACATTTTTGCCATTTATAGCCCATTTCCTTTAGAAGTTTTCGTAAACTTGTAGTCCCCCAGGGAAAATCAATTTTTTCCCGGATAGCCGCCAGAAGTTTGGGACAAGTGGGAACAATTTTTTTTTGTCAAATAAAATTCTTCTATACATCTGTGTATTACACTTCTATCGAAATCATCTACATTTAAATTCCCCATTTTATTACACGATTTCCCTTTTTTAGAAGGCGAATGGAGAGGTCCATTTTTGCTTCTGTTTGAATTCTAGACAATGTTCTTTTAGTAAGTCCAGAGTAACGGGCCGCTCGATCTAAAGCATTGTTAACCGGAAAAGCGAATTTATTCTCTTTTTTCTCTTCGACACACATCTGTAGGACATTTCTCGCCATTTCACGTGCTTGCTTATGTATTATAAAAGGTTTTTTTCTACCTGAACTTGCTGGAAGCGGAGTAGTCATAGTTTATTCACAATAAAATAATACAATAGGGACTAATTTTCGGTATCGATAAGCGAGTGTCACAACCGTCAAGGACACCACTCGACTGCAGACATATGCGGCTAGGTGGGACATGAACTCGCGCGCATACTGTATGTACATACCACTAAAACCGATTTCAAAAAAGGAGAAGGTACGGTCGTACAAAATTTTTAATTTCATTAGTTGTCTCTCTTCCTCTCTTTTTAAAAAACGTTACCTCCACACTAGAATTTTCTCTCTATCACGGGGACAGTTTACATACATAAACAGACCCAAAACAATTATTTGTAGGCCGTACAAATAGTTGTTCCGTCCGGGATTCGAACCCGCGGCTCTTAATAATATTTTTGTGGCTATGTATAGAATAGAATCCTATTTTGAATAAACATGGCTCTATATTTTTTTAAGCCTAAGGGTGATGAGTGACCACACAATCCACCTGATGGTATCAAAATGAGGAGTAAGATGGAATGGAAAAGAGTTCCAGTAAAAAGGATCTTTGGTTCTCTACGCTCACCATACGAAACACAACAGCAATCAGGCCTGTCTCACTCCGCGCTTTAGGCATGAAAATATATGCTACGCGACCCCGCATGCGGGGCAAATTCTGTGAGGTTGTCACTGTTCTTTTTGCTGTTATCAGGAAGATGCTGCTGCCCATCTCCTGCCTGTTTCCATTTATCGCCTTTTACGACACCCACGGGAAGATATGCGGTAGTGGATGTTCTTAACCGCCACTACAGGGCAAGACACCAGGTCTTTTCCCTATATTATACTTATTATTTCCCTATATTATTTATTCCCTAGAAGGAAAGATTTATAACGCGGTCAACGGTTTGAAGACCCCGAAGCAGCTGTGGTAGCGTCAACGTCAACTTCAGGCTGGAATTATTGTTTTAATGATTGGTTTGCACGAATGGAAAAGTAGATTAAGTTGAACGGAGAATACTTCGAAAAACAATAAAATATAATTTAGCTATACTGTGCATGTGGTTTTTCTTATTCCCGATCATTTCAGTGTGCCCCTCGTATTCTACTATATACCAACTAATGTCAAAGGATTCAATTTGTTTTCTGGCAACGCCTAACCCTATAGTTGAAGCGGTCTTAACAAGGGCGCGTAACGGGCTAAGTAATACAGACACTCCCACGTGGACGTAAGGTGCATATTGATTTAATACGCGCGCCACAAAACTTTTTCGACGAAATAAACTGTAGGCTAATTTCACGAAGGTCACTTCCAAGGCGTGCAAAGGATTATGAGCATTAGTGACGTTGTAACTAAGTTAAAACTCGCAAGTTTGCTATCAGGGAGTGAGTGTTCTGTTCTTTTAACTATTATTTATTCTGTGTCAGCATTAAGCTGCTATTTTACGCTGATATTCTGTAAGAGCGTGGTCCTACCCTGATCGAATTAACCCATTCGTGCTACATCTATACAATTAATTTAGCTGCAGCATGGCTCTACCACGTTAAAAGTAAAAGGTCGAGGAAAAAGTTTCTTCGTATTTTGTTTGTATAAAATTAAAGATATATCTCTTTGGTTGTACTGTTTGTACCTGAATGGTTTAATATCAATAAATATAGGACATTAAGAAAAAGAAAAATAAAAACTAAACAACACTTTCCCGCCATTTTCATTTGTTTTTCTGTCCGCCAAAATTAGTTAATCTAACGAAAAAATTCGATACATTCTGAAGTTTAATAAAACTCGTAATAACAAAAAATGAAAAAATGCGAATCAAACCGCGAAAAAAATTGCGTTATTTATGGACATAATGCAGTGTGTACTCTCGCCGTTGAGTTATTTAGATAGTATTAAACTATACAAAACTTACGTAAAGTACATAGACATTTATTATAACGATATATTTCGCAATAATCTTTGAAGTTTATATATGTGTGAAGACCGCTGGCATTCAAGCATCGTGGCCGCAGTCATTGAAACACGAGGTCCATTAGCAGAAGTCCAGGTGAGTGCGCATGTATTCCTTCACTCCCTTCCTCCAATAGTAAATTCGCACCATACAGTCCATTAATTTATGTTAAATCATCCTTTTAATAACTCTGAACCAGCAGTTGGTCATTTAAACTAACACACACAATTTTTGAAACGAAGACATGGCTTAAAAACAAACATCCAAGCTAAAATTTAAAAGTCAGTTGTCACTTTTTTTTTAATAACTAGCTTTACGGCTCTGGAATCTAACACTTCTGAGCCTGAAGTTACAATATATTATAATTATCCTTCATAGTATAATGCTTCACAATATGTTGATGCGTCACATTGTGCAGCCCTTGGGAGATTTTGACGGCAACTTGAGCCAGCAGACAGCTGACGGTTGGCGATGGTATCTCAAGGTGCCTAAGCAGACAGACACCTTATTTTGAGAATCACATCACCATCAGACACTTGTTTCACAGTTTCCACTAATGGTCCACATGCGCAGACACTTAATACACAAAATCGCACCACTTTTACATATCAAAGTCCACTTCAAACCATTATTTAAACAGTAATACAGGAGCAACAAACAACGGTCAAGTTCCCGCCAAAACTCTTGTCACTTCTCTTGTCATTGCAACATTGATAATAGATATTCGGAGAGAGAGAATAATGCTCTTTTTGTCACGTCACGAACGGAGTCAAGCTAGTACCTCTGTCGTCGGCGGAACCACGTGTTGTTCTTTACGGATTTATTAACTTCGTTTAAAGTAATTGTGCAAATTATATAGTGATTTCGTTTGAAGTTCTTTTTTTGATTGTACCATTACGTGAATAGACTGAGCTAGTGCTTTCAAGAAGGGAATTGTTCCGGGGGCTCCACAGGAGAATACCTCCTCCAGGATAGCATCGTGTCATCTAGCCCAGGCCACCTACACCCAGACACACACAAATACCACCTACACTCACTACACTTTCATCAGCCGGGCAGATCCTGGTGAACAGTCTCCGCTCCCGAAGCGAGTAAGTACCTTCCCGTTAACTAGCCTTCCCCTTTATTGTGATAGGATATTTCCACGTGGTCACTTTGGAGGCCCGACCTGCGTCTGCCCGTAGAATTCCTGTTTGGGCCCCGGGATAGCCTACTTTTGCAGAGGCAGCCGTAGGCTGTAACAAATTGGTAGCAGAAGCGCGGCTGATTGATTTTCAATCACGCCACGGCCGTAATATTAATAATATAACATAGTAATATGTAATAATAAAATTCTTTCCTTTGTTGCTTGTTTTTCTTTTGTTGCTCGCGGGTAGGATCGAATCGGAATCGGGGAAACGCCCGTAGGTTGAACAAGCGGGAGTTTGTTAAGGCTAAGTACTTACCGTAGTTTGTTAAGGCGAGGTACCTTGACTAGGTGGACAAGGTTGTCACGTAATCGGATAATTTGTTGATCGTACTAGGGTTTGTTACTTGTTAATTTGATTTGTGTTTTTTGTACTAACTTGTATTTAATTTAATAAATAGTAATCGTATTTGTGTAATTTCTATTTAATTTGATTTGATAGGAACTGTATTTGTTTTTTGTTAATTTGATATATATTTGAGCCGCGTATTAATTGTATTTAGTAGTGATGTCATCGCACAAGCTACTGATTCGTTGCGTGCGGACTGAGCTGCGCTTTGCTACCAGCGCACATGCTTTGATAGGTCGACCAGATAGGGTCTATAATATGAGGAAGAGGCTCGAGCAGGTCGATGCTCGAAGGGCCGCTGTGGAGGAGGCTTACGCTGAGCTCGAGGACTCGGAAATGGAAAAGGGAGTCCTGGACTCCTGCCGCGAGGACTACGAGCAGTTCCTCGCGCTCACGGACGATTTGATCGAGGTGGGGGCCAAGGACGCGGAGGAGGCGCGTGAAGCTCGGCTGAGTGGCCTGCTCGAGTCCCCTCGGAAGCCGCCCACTCAGCCGGAGCTGTTGGAACGACTCCCAACGCTGGACCTTCCAAGGTTCTCCGGGGTCCTCTCGGAATGGCTGACTTTCGTCGGCCTGTTTGACAGCCTGGTGGACGCCCGGAGGGACTTGACCCCCAGCCAAAAAATGGGGTACCTCCTGGCATCACTGGAGGGCGAGGTC